CCATTTGTTACAAAGGCAATTCTTCCACCACTGAATTGTGTTTGCATCTTTGTCAAAAATCAGTGTGCACATTTCTGTGGATTTATTTCTGGGTTCTCTGTTCCTCTGATCCACAAGCCCATCTCACTGTCAATACCACAGTGTCTTGATCAATGAAGCTATACAGCAATGCTTAATTCAGGATACAACGATTCCTTCCACTACATTCTTCTCCTTCTATGACATTCTTTTCTGTCAACATCTTAGCTATTCTAGTGCCTGTGACTTTGCATACAAATTTTAGAATGGCTTTGCTTATTTTTACAAAAAAAAAAAAAAAAAAAACTAAAAACCTATTTAACATTTAAACCTATAAATCAATCTGGACATAATGAACATTTTTACTACGTTAAGACTTCCAATTCATGAACCCAGTATGTCTCTCCATTTATTTGTTACTCAGTTTATTTCATAGCAGTTCATACTTTTTTTTAAAGACTTATTTATTTATTGGAAACGTAGAGTTACAGATAGAGAGGGAGAGACAGAGACAGAGAGAGAGCGAGCAAGCGTCCACCCTCTGGTTCACTCCCCCAAATGGCCAGAATGGTGGGGGCTGCACCAGGCCAAAGGCAGAAGCCTCAACTCCATCAGGGTTTCCCAAGTAGATTCAAGGGCCCATGGACTCAGGACACCTTCCACTGCTTTTCCAGGCATATTAGCAGAGCAGCCAGAACTCGAACCCATGCCCATATGGAATACCTGTATCATAGGCAGCAGCTTAACCAGTAACGCCACAATGCAGGCCCCAACAGTTTGTACTTTTTCAATATACAAATTCTAAATATGTTTCATTAAGTACATATTTAAATATTTCATTTTCTTTGGAATAACTATAAAGGACATTGGGTTTTTAACTTCAGTTTTTGCATACTCCTAGTTATTACACAGAAATATAATTAATTTTCTGTGCTGACCTTGTATCCTCCAACTCTGCTTATTAGTCATTACTTTGGGAAATTATTTTTTTTACCTATTTCTTGAGGTTTTCCACATAGACAATCATGTAGTGCATTAAGTCAAATTTTTAACATTTTAAATGAAATTTTATAGCACTATCATAAATGGAACATTTATATCAATTGTCATGAAAACAATGTAATTAAAATATATACATATGTAAGTACAAAGCATAATTAAATTCTATCTAGATACACTTGTCCAGAAGGCCATCAGCCTTAGGCTGATTCTCTCTCTCTCTCAAAGGAGAACAGTGAGTATAAAAATATGTGTTAGAAACTTACAAGGCTCAGGCTCACATGCAGCATTCTCTAAGACAGACTATATGATGCACTAAGCCATAAAACTAACCTTAATACATTCAAAAAATTAAAATCATAGAAAGCATATTTCTGATTTCAATGGAATTAAATTAGAAATCATTAACAGTCAGTTTGAAATTAGTGGGAGATCGATCTCTCTCACCTTGCCTTTCAAATAAATAATATTTTTTTAAAAAAATATTGTGAAGAGACAAACACAGAATGGGAGAGAACACTTGAAAATCATATAATATCTAATAAGAAACTTGTATTCAGAATCTATAAAAATCATGTGTGGGGGGGGTCCTTCAAATAGTTCATGGAAAAATGAGATTAAAATGTAAGGTTTTTTTGCTGTGAAAAAATCTGAAACCCACGCACAGTTTTTTCTTACCATTTTTTATAAAGAAAAATATTCTTATTACTTATAGAATTCTAGATTGTCAATTATTTTCTTGAAGCAGTTTCTTTTTAAAAGTTGTATTTATTTATTTGAAAGGCAGAGTTACAGAGAGAGAGTGGGAGAGGCAGAGAGAGAGAGAGAGGTCTTCCATCCACTGGTTCACTCCCCAAATGGCCGCAACAGCCAGAGCTGGGTCAATCTGAAGCCACGAGCCAAGAGCTTCTTCCAGGTCTCCCATGTGAGGTCAAGGGCTTTACCCACTGGGTTACAATGCCAGCTCCCAGCTTTTCCATAATATGCATTTTTCCATGAACTTTTTGAAGATATTTCATATGCATGGATTTAAATTAACATTTTTGCACCAAAATAAACTTTTAACTCCACTTAATCATGAACTTTTTGAAGTACATTTGTATTCTTGCCAATGCATTTCTCAAAGAAGATACACATCCCAACACAAAGAAACACTTGATTTAAGTGACTGATTAATTATCCTGATCTTATCCTTTACACACTGTGTGTGTGTGTGTGTGTGTGTGCACCGGCATCCCATATGAGCGCTGTTTTGAGTCCCGGCTGCTCCTCTTCCTGGGAAAGCAGTAGAAGATGGCCCAAGTCCTTGGACCCCTGCACTCGCGTGGGCGACCTAGAGGAAGCTCCTGGCTCCTGGCTTCAGATCAGCGAAGCTCCAGCCTTTGCGGCCACCTGGGGAGTGAACCAGTGGATGGAAGACCTCTTTCTCTGTCTCTACGTCTCTCTGTAACTCTTTCAAATAAATTTTAAAAATCTTAAAAAAAATTAAAAAAAAATAAAAAGGTAAACAAGTCGGCAATAAACATATGATGAGCTTCTCAGCATTAGTCATTAGGAAAATACAAATCAACTCACAGTCATGGGCCCGGAGTTGTGGTGCAGCAGATTAAGCCACTGCATCCCACACTGGAGGAGTTCCTTCTGATCCAGCTCCCTGCTCATGTGCCTGGGAAAGCAGTGGAAGAAGCTCCAAGTGCCTGGGCCCTGCACCCACACGGGAGACCTGGAGGGAGTTCCAGCCTGCTTTCAGTCTGGCCCAGTCCTGACTTTTGCAAGCATTTGGGAAGTGAACAGTGAATGAAAAATCTTTCTCTCTTTCAAATAAAATGAAATATTTTTTAAAAGGCCTTTCCCTCTCATTCTCATGGTTATTGTGCAAACATCATCTTATACTGTACAAATTCCCTCACAGGGCCACAGGCACCTGGTCATGATGTCGGGATCCTTCCCCCACATTTTAGACTTGAAACAGAGACTCCCAGGCCAATACTTCAAATGCCAAAGTTGAAAACAGCCCAATTTTTACCACGCGAATACCAGCACCTTCCAACAACTTCCTCATGTTCCTGAAATTAATTTCAACTGTTTCAGTTCCAGATAACCAAGAGTGCTAATACCACTCAAGCTTACGCCACTTTCGGCCTAATTTCCCAGGACACAGGGGCTCAGCTCGGTGTCAGATGATAGCCCCTCCTCTAAGCAGAGGCCCCTCCCAATGACAAAGGCTAAAGTGATTTTGCTGGAAATACAAGCTGAGCAAGCTCTTTTAGGATTAGAAGGCAGACATCTGAACTAAGTCTGGGGAGTTTAAAGATTTGTCCAATCCCCAGAAAAACAAACGATTAAGTGGTGTTTATGGCTGTCATTATAAACCAACCTGACGCCATGTGATAAAAAGCTTTGAAATCCCAAAGAAACACCAATTTGTTAATTTTTCATTGTTTATTTAACTGTGGTTTAACCATATTTAAACCAGAAGCACAATGTTGTTATTGTCATGAAAATCCACTGCTGAATTTCTGAAAATTAAATTCACCAAGGGAATGGAGACAACACAAATTCACTACATAATTCCTCCCTGTATCTGTGGTTTCATTTTTCTCACTGTCGGTTACCCCCAGTCAACTACAACTTAAAAATATTACATGGAAAATTCTAGAAATAAATAATCCATGAATTTCAAATAATTTCAATGATCATGTACTGCTGTAAATGTTCTACTATATTTTTACTTGTTAATCTCTTACTCTGCATAATTTATAAAATAAACTTTATCATAGGTTTCTGTATAGGAAAAATCAGGGACCCATACTTGCAAGGTATCCCCTCTGGGTAAGAAAGGACTTCCATCTCCTTCCTTACAACAGTTACCAGGGGACTTCTGAGAGTTCATGGAAAGTGAAATTAAAAGATAAGCTTACTTTGGTGCAAAAAATTTTAAAAGCCATGCATGTTTTCCCCTAACACATTTTCTAGGAACTCTCTGAAGACCTCTCCTATTTAGTGAAACAGCGAGGTTAGCAGTTTAGATGCAGTGATCATTAACTCTCTGCAACGTGTGTGGCCTGGGTCTCCACAAACCTCTCTCCAGAGACAGGAACTTCCACAATCCACTGTCACTGAGGGAAGCCACGGTGCCCCAATACAGTGTGTCACCTTCAGTTCTGGGAACAGAAGTGATTTTGTGTGCACTTGACTATCTCTTAGCCAAAGTCTAGAACTAAAATACATCAGGGAGTCCTGATGGCCATTTCTGTAAGAAAGTGTTACTAAAATTGTGTTAGTGATAATAATAACAACAGAAGGACATGAAGCAACCTAGACAGAAGATACTAGAGCCAGGGGTGGAACTATGTTTATATATAAGAGATTTGATTTTTTAAAAAGATTTATTTAGAAACTCACAAGTTACAGAGAGAAAGGGAGAGAGGGAGAGAGGGAGAGAGGGAAGGAGGGAGAGAGAGAGAGAGAGAGGGGGGAAGAGATCTTCTACCTGCTAGTTCACTCCCCAGATGGCCACAAGAGCCAGCACTGGGTCAGGCCAAAGCCAGGAGCCAGGAGCCAGGAGCTTCATCTGGGTCTCCCATGTGGGTAGCAGCAGCCCCAATGCTTGGGTCATCTTCCACTGCTTTTCCCAGGCCATTAACAAGGAGTGGGATCAAAGTGGAGCAGCTGGGACAGGAACCAGCACCCAGATGGGATGTCGTTGTCACAGGTGGCAGCTATGCCTGCTATAGCCACAACACTGGCCCCAAGGAGATTTGACTTTAATATTCATCACTAAAGTCCATCAGATTTACATTTCATTACCATTTTCTTTGAATTCCAATCTGGCTGAAAAAATGCCACACTGACTACAAGTAAATGACCCAAACATTTACTACACGGAAAGCAGACACAGCGACAAAATCACATCTCTTTATATACGGCTATTCGGGGTGCAGGATAGGAACTGACACACAAAACTGTCAAGTGTGCCTTACCTGATATCTGACAGATCACATTTGTTTCCAGCAATGGCCATCACAATATTTTCAGGACCATGTTCTTTCAGTTCCTTCACCCATTTCTTCAAGGTATGAAAGGAATCCTACACAAAAAGTGTAAAGCAATCTATGAAAAGACTCACCGCTATAATATTTCAACCAAGTAGAAACATAAAACACAATTTAATGAGAAAAGATGCTTATAGAAGACTCAGGTAGAAGAACATATGACCACTCTATCTAGGCACCAAAGTTACCATTAGCTAAGTAATATTTATGTGGTCTATAAAAGGACCCATTTCTAAAATTAAAAACATAATGAGGTTAAGGAAATTGCATTAGTAACTTTCTTCCTTAAGTAACATTGATTTAAAACTACAGCCTTGACTGCACGTGCGTGAGGACCACAACTGGACTCAGTAATGGTCACACTTGCTCTGGGAAAGAAAGCTATTTCGAGTCCCGTTTCCCTTTGGGGCCTTCATCCACAGCTGTCCTTCAGCAAACAGGCCACAGTGGACACCACAGCTCAGTGGACATGGTCAGGAACTCACAACAGGTAGCAACGGTGGATGACTATAGCACTAATGCGCAGTGAGTCAGCATTCCAGAGACAAGGGCCAATAATTCAGTTATTGTAGGAATGGGAAGAACATGTCATCCAAACACTTTGATGATTTGGCGATGGATAACCTACAGCCTCAACATGGAAATTAAAAACACTTTTCTATTATAGGAGGGGTCTTCAAAATGTTCACAGAAAAAGCATATCAATGAAACAATATGCATGAATTTCAAATAGTTTTGTGCCAATATGAACATATTTTTAATTCTATTGTTGTAGGCAGGCATAGAGAATAAAATTGATCACGTCTGTGAGCTGGAAGACCATGCCTTCACCATGCCCCTGTGTGACCTCATGCCCCTACCTGGTCACACCTGTGTGCCCACCAGCCAATCAGGTTAATTAACCACTCCCTTTGGAAGTGGATTAAAAGCCTGGGACACCATGTGCCCGCCCTTTCTCCTTTCCTTGGCCTTTTGCCAGTATGGGGCTTGCTGTGGCCCTGCGCATCCAGGGTGCATGGCCTTCGGGCCACTGGGCTCATGCTTCCTGGCCTACATGCTCCTCCACAGAAGAATTTAAAAGAATTTAAACATAATTTTCCTTTCTTAAAAAGCTGACGTCCTGGAGAGCAGTGCTAGTGGGCAGGACCTTGCCTCCACAAGTGAGTTTTAAGATGCATGTTCACTGTTGCTTACTCGGTTTGGCAGATCAATTTGAGACGCTTCATCACAGTCTCGGCGAAACACACTCTTAAATACTGGGTGTTCGTTATCCTTGCCCACCACACTATGACCTCTCACTCCAGGCTCCTGGCAAGACACGCAGTGGCGCTCTGCCTCGGTCTTCCTGCGGCAGAGTCGCCGGCAATGGTATCCAACCCCCGGAGGAGCCGTCCTTACCTGCTTGGTGATGTCATACACGATGACAGCTGCGGCAGATCCCCGGTAGTACATGGGGGCCAAGGAGTGGAACTGTTGAAGAACAAGCAGCAACTTCAGGACAACCCCGGACCAGATACAACATGCTCATCTTACGTCACCCCTATACGATCCCTGAGTTCCCTCCAGACAATTTCCAGGCCTCCTATTAGATCACAAAGTTTCCTCCCTGCTGACACACATAGGCTTGTGGTTTACAGCCTTTGAAATCCACTCCTGGGTGCAGGCCAAGAGCAAATTTTATTTTAAATGTTGCCATCCTGTGAATTCTCTTTCTCTGCTGCTGCTCCTCACTTACCTAACGTCACTGACCCACGTTAGGTGAAGCTGCATTAGAATTCTGATACAGCAGTAAGGCAAAGAGGAGTGCCAAGGGCAGGGAGAGAGAACACTGGCAACGATCACAGCCCCTTGCAGAGCCATTAATGAGCAACACTGCAGCCAGGGCAGCCTCGGCTCTGGACGGCTGCCAGCTCTCGAATGCGGTCCCTTCTGCCCACCTGAGGCCCACAAAGGAGGAGATATTAGACAAGCTGCATTCCAAAATATGAATAAGGCCAGCACCACGGGTTACTGGAATCATCCATCCCAATGGGATGGAGAATGACTCTCAGAAGATATAGATTTTATATATATTTTAGAGAAGGGTTCAATCTTAATCTTCATCCTTTTTTTATTAAAAAATATATCTTGGCATGGTTTTGAAAATCCATAAGAAAAAGACAGCTCTATGGAAAGTTGGACAAAAGATATATATGAGGAATCTTCAAAAAGGTCATCCAAAAAGCATATTATCCTTTAATTCTATTTTCCTTGAGCTTTTTGAAGTCCCTCTGTGTAGAAGATAAATCATCCAAGAGAAGATATAAATTTCCAATAAATATTTTAAAACCTGCTCAATTAGAATAAAAGGTGTGAAGGGGCTAGCATTGTGGCGAAGCAGTTTGTTGCCACTTCTAACACAGGCACCCCACACTGGAGCACTGGTTCAAGTCCCAGCTGCTCCACTTCTCATCCAGTCCCTGCTCTATGTACCTGGGAGGCAGAAGATGATGGCCCAAGAACTTGTGCCCCTGCCGCCCATGTGGGAGACCAGGAGGGAGTTCCAGGCTCCTGGCTGTGGCCTGGCAGATTCCTGGCTATTACCACCATTTGGAGAGTGAACCAACAGAAGACCTCTTTCTGTCACTCTGCCTTTCGAATAGATGAATAAATCATTTTTTTAAAAAAATCTATTCGCTGACAATTTTGTTTTAAAAGAACAAGAGGAATGACAAGAAAAACAATGACAAGGCACTTATTGATTTACTAAAGGCTAAGAAAGATTGATCATGCCCGTTGTGTGGGTTTGGGAAGGCAGGCACTTTCACATACCGCACAAGAAAACACTTGAATACTTTTTTCCAACATCACCATACATGATGCATAGCAAAAGCTGGAATGTATATACCATGAAACCCCGCTATTCCACTTACAGGAATATATTTGTGTACGGGAGTGACCACCACACACAAAAAAAGAGTTGCACATGGGAGCAAAAATTTAAAAGCCACCTAAAGGCTCATCATAGGGAAGCACACAATGTTATAGACTAAACAATTGTGTCTTCCCCACACTCATACATTGAAACCCTCACTCCCAAGGTGGAGAGGTCCCCCTGAGATGAGCTCAGGAGGGTAGGGCCTCCCCAGGGAGGGGTGAGTGCCCTTGTAGGATGAGGAAAAAGTCATGGCCACCTCCTCTCTCTCCCTCTCCCTTACCCCCTCCTTCTGCCTCCCCCCCCACCATGAGGGCACAGCAAGAAGATGGCAGTCTGCAGACCAAGAAGTGGGCCGCACCAGCCACCAAATGTACTGGCAGCCTGACCTTGAATTTCCAAGCGATGTCACTTAAGCCACCTAGTGGACTATGGCACCCGAGGCTCAGACACAAATCTAGACGAACACAGACACACGCATATACGTGTGCATGTAATGGAATCCTCAACAACCATTACGATGGTGACGAGAATGCTTGTGTGCAGGCAGAGCCAGCTCGGACATACATACCGGGAGCAGGCAGGATGACAGAACCCGGGGTGAGGGGCGTGGGGGAGTGGTGTCGCTGATGTTCCTCGGGGCAGGAACAGTGGGTTTCAGGCGTCGGCACAGAGCAGACGTTTACAGGGATGTTTAAGGAAAACGGCTTCCTAGTTAAAAACCGGGGTGTGGGGGAAAGCAGGATTCTGAAGCCTTCCTCAATCCCTTTTCCCCACATGGCGCTGCTCACGGAGCTCACACCGCCAAAGGCACCGCTCACCCGCGGCTCCACAGCGCGCCAGTCCCAGTCTCCCCTTCCCTATGCTGAGGCAGGCGGGCGGAAAGAGGCGGCCTCCGCTCTGCAGAGAACTGTCCCTGGAGGGAGCCGCGGTGCTTTCCGGAGGAGGGCAAGGCTCCGGTGGGCTCAGGACGCGCCACGGAGCTCACGGCCCAGGCCTCAGACGCCGGCGGGTCGGCGGGGAGCCGCAGCCACGGCCACCCCTTGCCACCGTGCCTTTCCCTGGTGGCCGCGCGTCTATTTTTAACTCACCCTTTGGCAAATCCACTGCTCAGGCCTAAAACTCAAAGTCAGAGAGAGAAAGCAAGATTGGTGCAGCATCCCTCCTGCCTTGCTTGCTGGGGTGACAGGGCACCCCGAGTGTCCTCTGAGCCCAATTCCCCAAGACGCTTTCTCTCAACAACAGGATCCACCTCGGAGTGCGCTACAGGAACACACAGAGCAGGAGGAGACCAGCTTACAAAGGGTTTTCTAAAGTTTCCAGAAAACGTGTGTTACAAAAATACTATGCGTGCATTCCCAAACTGTTCACACCCAAATACAGGTGTGTTTGAATTTCGCTTTTCACAACATCTTTGAAGCACTCTCAGATTTCCCAAGTCAAGATGCTTGGGGACCCAAGCCCAGGGGGAAGCAGACCTGGAGCCCCGCCCCCGCAGGCTCTAGCGCTAGGAGCTGGGTCTCCGTGGTCAGCGGTGTGCAGGTCTCATGAATTATTGAGCAGATCTCGGTGTATATATAATGCATGACTCATTCTTTCCTTCCTCCAAACGGAATCACTTTGAAATAAATCTGTTAGTGAAGCCACTTAAAGTGACTTCACTGCCGGGGCTGTGGAGGTTTTGTTGGGTTGAAAGTTCACGACACACTTCCCAAGCCCACTGAGGCACTGCCCAAGGAGGATAATCGTGGAAGACAGAGACTTAAACCACTTCTAGCCTGCAATGTACATACTTCACCCCCTGCAAATATAAAACCCAAGCTCCACGGTTGGACTCCATCCACAACATGACCTAATTCCATCGCTGGGGGTCAGGGTTAAACCTTAAGGGCCGCTCAGATAGAACAATGCTCCTCAAGTTCACAGTCACAGGAGGTTGATAAAGCTCTATTTCTGAATCTCACCTTGCAAGGTTATCTGAAAATTAGCACAACAGATGCCAGTTCAAAACCCCGTCTTGCCCAAACTACCCAAGGAAATATCTAGAAGACCAAATCCGAGTGCTCAGATAATTTCCAGGTGTCATTTAATTATCTGGCAACAGCACAGCGAACTGTGAAAAGCCAATTTGCCTCCTCAGAAGTGGCTGTTCATGCACTTAGTTCATGTGGCTTTTTTTCTTTTCTTTTTTTTTTTTAGATTTTATTTATTTATTTGAAAGGTAAAGTTACAGACAGTGAGAGGAAGAGACAGAGAAAAAGGTCTTCCATCTGCTGGTTCATTCCCCAAATGGCCACAATGGCTGGAGCTATGCTGATATGAAGCCAGGAACTAGGAGCTTTCGGGTCTCCCACGCGGGTGCAGGGGCCCAAGGACTTGGCCATCTTCTACTGCTTTCCCAGTCCATAGCAGAGAGTAGGAGCTGAAGTGGAGCAGCCGGGTCTCAAACCGGTGCCCATATGGGATGCTGGCATTGCTAGCAGACGATTAACCTACTGCACCACAACGCCGGCCCTGTGACTGCTTTTTAACTGCAGGATGTGCACATGATAAGAGGAGGGCTTGGCCCTACCCAAGCGCCCTGAGTCTCTTGGACTTCTCGGCTTCCGCAGATGGATGCTAACCCTGCCCCTCCTCCAGAAAGTGGCAGCAGGACACCGGCGCAGGACCTTGTGGGCAAGCAGCTGGACAGTGTATTTCAAGAATCTCGCACATGTTCACACACTTCGATTCCACAATTCTGCTTCTTAAGGGAATAATCAAAGATGGTCACGGAGGAACCAGAATTCATTCCAGAATTACCAGTTATTGCAGAAAAACTGGAAACAATCTCCATGTCTAACCATTAGGGAATGGAAATATGAATTTCGGCTTTGCCATAATATGGAATATTGGGCAGCCATTCAAATCATTTTTTTTAAATATTAAATAGCACATGAGGCAATGGCATAATTACTGTCTTCCCAAGGCTCTTCTGCAGAACATCGGTAACTTGTGGAGGACAGACGAATCACTGCTAGCCTGCAACGTATATTTTTTAATAAAAGTAAGGTTTCCTGGCCAAATGCGTATGAGAAACACCACATACAATCATGCTCCCTGGAGGTTTACAAAGTATTCCTAGAACACTGAAGGCTCTGAAAATTGCTGTAGTGGAGAAGCCTCTTTGGGTTTTAACTCCAATTTTCCCATCACTTCCTTTTGTCAAGCAGTACTGATTAGTGTCTAGGGACCCAGTGCATCAGAACTCATCTTAGAGGGTTAGGACGAAGAGAATTAAACTCGGAGACAGCCTTGAGGCCTGGCTGGGTGCCATCTGGTTTTCATATTTGGAAAATGGAAATGGGGATGGGGGTGGGGGTGGGGATGGCTGAGGTTTTTGCAGCTTGGGACGACACTCACGGCCAAGGTAAAACAGGCCCAGATGGAAGCCACTTGCCTCGCCTGCTCTGGTTCTTCCGAGTGCCTTGAGCCCACACCTCTCTCTTCTCATTCTACCCTGTCTTGAAAACCAGGATAGAAGCAACAGGGAAAGAGCTTTGCTACGTGGAATCCA